GGCGCTCTTTCAGTGTGATTAATGTCAGTAAAGTCAGTCTCACTGTTAAGAAGATTTTCTTGGTTGCAGAAGAGATTAGATATGCACTGGGTAAAACGTGTCTCAACAGCACACGCACTTTACAGGGCAATTTTACATTATTAAATAATATTAATGATCTTAATGATTAGTTGTTGTGGCTGTAATCATAACAGCAACATTAGAGCAGCTTCATAACTATGCTTCACTTTTCATTCATTCACAGCTGTGTTTATTTGCCATGACTTTTGTGGGGTTTTTTTTATGTTTGTTTAAATATACTGCAGCACATTTTTCTTTCCAATTCAAAGCCACAGAAAACATATGAAGGTTCAGGGTCTCAGTTTAATCTGATTGTGAAGATTAAACAGACTTCTTCAGGAAACCCACAGTGAGACACACGAGACTGAGACGTAAGCAGAACATTGTGAGCAGAAGATAAAGACTAAGCTGCTCATTCAATATTCATCCTGCATCTACTGTAAGTGTTGAATGGGGCTTTTGATGATTAAGAATCTGCCTTGCTACGTTAAAGAGATTGGCTTGTAAAGGTCTCAATGCTTTGTGTTTGCAGGGTTTTGTCTAGTGTGCTGAAGATGAACAAACATGAAATGATTTCGCTCTTGCACTTAAATTATTGGGGTCAAACCAAGAAGACCTTCAGCCACGTGCAGATGTGATAAGAACAGAAAACTTTCCATAGACAAACATTTTCTACTTCATAAAACAATGCTGTAAATTGGTGTAATATATGAAAAAATAAAATGTTTCTGTGATATCTCAGTTCTTCCTTAAAAAAATGTTTTATTCGGTTCAAATGAAATGCTTAATTCAGGTCAGATATAGATGTTTTAAGCAGCACCTGGTCAGGAGAACTAGAGACATGTAAACATTCACACGTAGTTTGACTCTTAGTAGGAAGATCAGAGACCAGCAGAGCCCCTCACTGGAAACTATAGTGAATCTAATCAGTAAACAGGTGCCATGTGTTCACATTAAAGACCCAGTACAATGCAGATCACCTTAGAATTTCATTGATGTTATGTCAGAATGTAGGATCAAGATTAAAAACAGATTCTTAAATGTGTAATCCCACACAGGGAATGCTCAAAACTGGTTTTGCTATTAAGTTCCACAAACTGCAGTCATAATTTAGGGTGCATTATAAAGTGTCTGCTTTTTAAGTTTTTAAAAGTCCAATCGATCGACCCCTTTGCATCCTGTAGCTCTTGGAGCATGGTTTTCCTTTGGCATTGAACTCTGTGTGACTAAAACACCTTATAAAACTTCCTCAGTATAAGTGGGACTAATAACGAGTCATATTTGTGACCCTGTGTATCTCATCACACATAGTCAATTCTTAATTTAAAAACTAAATATTGAAGTATTGCACGTCAACAATCAATGCGATGAGGTTTATTTTCAACTCCTCCCGTTTCTCTATATACGCGTCCGTTTAAATGTGAATAAAGTTCACGGGTGTATCGAAATTTGCACAGAGCAGAGAGGAGAAGATGTTCTGTGAGTAATCAATTCAGCTGTTTTATGTCTTCTGAAGATTTGCAATTACAAAGCACAAAGCATATGGACGATTTGTATAGTTCGAGTTTGACAGCAATGGTGTAACTAAAGGTCACCCTGCTGGGCTTGTGAATATATTTACAAACTCAAGCAACACTGCTAAATGACTCAGTATCAGACGGTGTAACTGCACTAGGTGGCGCTCTTTCAGTGTGATTAATGAGATGTCCAGTCAGTGGAGATGGTGGGAGGAGCCAGTAAAGCTGCTCATTACTGATAAAGAGCTGAATAAAGAGGAAGTAACTAAAGCAGACAGATGTAGAGACCGAGAGATTCACACAGAGATCATTCAGCATAAAGAAGACTGAACTCAACTCACAATGAAGATCCTCCTCATCTTCCTCACTTTCTACCTGATCTCAGGTGAGAGCTTTTCTCTTTCATCACTGCAGTAATGATGCTGTTTTCTGTTCATCAGCTTTCTGATCACAGTATCAATCTGATTGACAGCTGCAGTGAGATGCTTTAGCGTCACGGGATATTCTGGAGGAAGCGTTCTTGTTGATTCTGGGAAACTTTGGTTCCGTGCAAATGTTAAATGCATGAATAAATTACCCGAGTGGACAAACATAATGAATAATACGAAGCATGACAAATGGATCAGTGTTGGAAAATTCACATTGTTTCAAAATAATGAGGGAAACCTCACGATCTACATCAGAGATTTGAAGGAGCATGATGCTGGAGGATACTGGATTGGTGTTCTTTACAAGTGGGGTATAGATATGACTTTACATGTGGAAGAAGGTCAGTCATTTTAAGATCAAAGTCTGTGTAGTAAAATTCCTGATCATTTTTAAAGCCCGTTTAAAAGTAAAATATATTTCTTTGTTATGTAAATGGCAGATTCGTGTTGTAAAGTATCAAAGAGAGTGATGGCGAATATTGGAGAAACTGCCAATTTCAGCTGTGAATATTCACAGAATCATATTAATGATCCCAAGATCATATTCAAAGAAGAAAAAGACTCCATTGAGACGATTTACAGCAGATGGAAGAAGAAAGAAAGATTCAGTATTTCTGATGACAAACATAAACACATCTTCAGTGTGAGAATCACTGCTGTGACACCAGATGATGGAGGAGTTTATTTATGTGGAGTTTGGATCAACAGACAATCATACAGTTACTCCATTATTAACACTGTTCATCTACATATTATGAGTGAGTAGAACAAACTCAATCAAATCTTGTTTAAAAGTTTCTGAAATTACATTTGCAGCAGAGTGAATTAGATGTGATATTATTTATGATCGTTTACATTATAAAACAAATACAGAAATATATTATAAGCACATTAATTAATGTTGCAATTTACTTGTTCTTTATTTAAAGTGCCTCCAGTAGTGAGGCATGAAGGAGAATCTGCTGAGATCATCTGCCCTTATGATTCAATCTATAAATCAAAGCCAAAGTCTCTCTGTAAGGGGAAGTGCTCCACTAGAGACAGAAATACTCTCAGTGAGACTGTGAGAGAAGAGAAAGAGAGCAAGACTGGCAGATTGACTCTGAATGATAACGTCACTGCACGTGTCTTCACTGGGACCATCACTGGACTGACAGCAGAGGATGCTGGGAAATACTGGTGTGCAGTGACATTAGAAACAGACCTCAATTATCTTTACACTCATCTGATCGTCATCATGAACGAGGGTGAGGAAGGTTTCTGCATCTGAATATGTGAAACTACGGCTGTGAATTGATGTTCTTGTGTCTGTAAACATTTCCAGAGCTGAACTTGACTAAGTATGAAGGAGACGACGTGTCAATCCAGTGCAAACATCATGATGAAGATCAGAAGAGCTTCTGCAAAGCACATGAAGCCTCCATGTGTGTGAAGGATGGAGTTTCATTGGAGATGATCAGAGATGATCGATTCTCTTTCAGTGATGAAGCATCTTCTGGAGTCTTTACTGTGAACATCACTGATCTGAGAGAAGAGGATTCTGGGATATACTGGTGTGGAGCTCACGTCATCACTAAAGTCATTCTAGAAGTCAACAAAAGTAAGTTTTACCTTAACCTGACCTACATTGTTTCTATTTAAAGGTGATTAGCATCAGTAATCATCTTGACCTCACAGATAGTGGTAGATTTAGAGATTAAGTAGCTGAGAGAGAAGCCAAGTAATTTGTGATTTCCTCAGGTTATGAAAGCAGAAGTGAAAGAATTGAGCAGCCACAAATAGATTTTAGAAAATTTGCAGATGCAAATTATATTACATTATATCAAAACTAAAACTGCACTAAATGCTAAGATATGGCTGCTGTATGTTTTATGTAAAATGTGGTTTATTGCACATACTGTGGTTTTTTAACTTTACTGGTATTACTGGCACCTGTTCTCCAGGTGTTTCTGGAAGAATCACGATCTCTTGCATTTGTGTGACTCTGCTGCTGATGGGAGCGTCTGTCCTGTTATTATACAAATTAGGATACATCAAGACACGAGGTGATGATCGCAAACACACTCATGATTTAACGGTCTACTGGCCTTGTGTGACCTGCTACTGTTTTACTTTCTCTCTGTCATTTTGAATTCAAATAACATGAGCAGTTTAGCCAGTTCTCATTTGATTTCTTGGAAAGTGGGCCTGTAGTTTTATCTGTAACTAATCATTTGACTTTTTTCCAACCTTATTCCTAAAGACACTCTAACACTGCACACTCAGGCCCAGATTGACTAAACAGATCATATTATGTTTTCTTAAGGCAGCTTTAGTGTATTGTTGCAAATTAAAACTATCAAGCAAGTTTTGTTGTGAGCGTTTGTACTCTGGTTATAATTCACAGATCAGCACGCTTCCCCAGGCAGGACGGAGATGAGCGATGGAGAGGTGAGGGGTGTTTAGTTTCTTGTTTATTGGACATTTTGTTGACTGTCATTTGCACATGAAGCAGAACTAGAACCAATTTAATGGATTACACAACATATGACTTGTTTTCATGTGACTGACCAAAAGTGACAAAAAATACTCACTAGTAAAAGTGTGATAATTTGCAATGCAAAGCAAAAACTTAATACTTCACCTCCTGAGTACTTGGGGGGGGGGCAATGCTTGCCATGCTTGTTTGTAGGGCTGCACAATTTGGTCAAATCTTTGTGATTATCAATATAACTATATAATAATATTGATATGATGATATTATTACTTTTATTAAATACACATATACATATTACATGCAGCATATATCTATTTGATTAAACCACAGCCTTTGCGATTTCGTAGTCTCACTAAGCCATATTACAATTTCCTTTGTATTTAAATTAATCACGCAGCCCTCGTATTCAATCTAGTTTATTTCTCTCTAAATCAATCTTCAGGCCTCTCATGCAGCATGTGACTATGAGAATATCAGAGATGCCAGACTGCGCTCAGTCCCGGGAACTGAGGAAACGGTGTTATATTCCACTGTCACGCATCCCACAGACTCGTCTGATCCACACGACACGCTGTATTCTACAGTACAGTTACCCACAAGCCCCTCTGATGGGCTCCTGTACGCTTCGGTCCATTTCCAGAAGCATGAAGAGTCTCTCAGTGATGCTAACGTAACCTTCAATAATGAGGAGATTTACTGTGATTACTCCACGGTCATTCCCCACACGTCACTCAAGTAGTTTAGTTTTTTTTTTTTTTTTTTTTTTTTTTGTTGCCAAAAA